CAAACAAGTGAAAATGTGTGAAATGCAGACTTTCGTGTTCTCGATTTGACGTCACATTACCCGCTAGAACCATTCCTCTATAAACTCGGTCGTGAGCCAAGATGGCGGCCGATTTTCCGTATTTTGACTGGGCACAGAAAATTGAAGATTTGAGCAAATAAAAAAATTCTTGCACAGAAATATTCCAAAAAATACGCTTATTTCGTTAAGCAGAAAAAAATTTTTGGGTTTAGGTGCGCTTTAAGCTGTAGAAAGAATTGACCAAACATGACTATCTGTTTTCCGGTTTCAAATGTGTGTACCAGTGTTATAGAGGGGCTATTCTTTTAAGTTCACACTCATCCACAACCTGGATGATATTACTCAACGATTTTATCATAATGCCTTCATTTCGCAGAAAACGAAAACAGATCAACGATTGAGGAAACCACCGCAATCCATGATACCTCGTCTTGATTTACTTGGCCAATTACTAAAATGGACATTGAATAATTGAATATAACAGTGCAGCATCGGCACTTACCAATGGCAAGCAACAGCACAGAGGCGTTAAGGACCACGAACAGGACATTTGCAAAGATTGAGTCGTTCTTGCCCTCTCCTTGACTCTCATCGCAGTTTGTGTAAACTGCACCAAGACAAACGTCAAAGAAAATTATCCATAGGACAAATGTTTGTAAGCGATCTTCAAACTTGTCCTTAATTGGTCGGAATAAGGTGTAGACCACTCCAGAGACGCTGACGGTCAGAACTGTAAGGCTGATTTGGAAGAGGCTGTTAGACCCAAACAGGTGAATCAACGCGATTAGAATTAGCTTGCGATACATCTCTATGACTTCCCAATACCAAAATTTCTCCTTATAGTTTTCAAAGAACACTTTGAGTCCAAAAGAAATGGTCTCGTATTTCTCGGAATTACGATATATGAGAGTGAGAACCAAAACCAGAATTGGAAATCCCACTGGATAAAATGCCGCAATAGAGGCCATGAGAATATACAACCTGTGGCGAGGGGTGTAACACTGGATGGAGTAGTCAGTTCTCAGCAGGAAGATGCAGTCGCTCTTGTCGTCTGAGAAACACGTTTCCACACACGCACCAGGAAGAGGAAGAACCTGAATAATCGATTTGCTCGTAATCGGGTAGGTCATCAACAACAAGAGGAAAATGTTCCGACAGCAAGATTTCTTCAAACTCTTCACTTTATTTGCCTTCTCGCTTTCGTCAAGGTCCTTCTTTTTCATGATGTAGCACTTTTTCAAGAATGAATACGAGAAAAACAAGACAACGAGTGAGACATTCGAGACAATGATCAATAGGAACTTTCCAAACTGATCCAACCGCAGAGAGGAATGAATGCAGCTAAGTGGAGCAAACTGCAAAATGTTCCCTTCCATTACTTTTAGAAACTTCTCCATTGAGATCAAAGTGAATGGCCAGTGGACTTGTGCCAATGCAGAGAAAATGCCAACAATGGTTTGGTAAAAACCAAGCACAATCTTAACGCATGACATGATGACATCTGCAACTGTTCGGTTATTATCTGTGCGTTTGGTGTCACCCCAGAGAACAAGTAGGAACACAATAACAAAAACACAAATCACCGCGATGGATGAAATTACTGTTACAAATAACCGGGGACATTTCAAGCAAGAGTTAAATCGGAAATAAAAGCCGTTAGAGCAGGTTGCACACAGAGTCCCTTGATATCCTTGAAGGCAACCTGAGTCAATTCCACCTTTGCACGACCTGGCATAGGGACATATGAGTGGCTTTGGGGTTAACGTATTGAACGTGGAATATGACTTGTTGTATTGCGGTCCAAAAGAATAAATATTGTCGACAAAACCTTTGAACAGTTCTTTTTCAGACTGATTTGACCATTTCCAGAAGTAGTTAGGAGCAAGTATTGCTGTATCGTTCTCGCAAACAAAACCGTATGGTGGACATGCTGAGCACGGGCCAAAACGATCCAACCGATAAAACTTGTGAAGGCATCTGCATGCACGATAGTTAGCGGTCTCGTTTGAGAGCGTACCTAAGGAGGAATGATTCCTTTCTTAGAAACTACCTTGCACAAAACCGAATACCAATCCATAACACTAATAAAGCGTTCATAGAAGTGCTTTACCACGACTTAAATTCCTCTCTACTGTGAATCAACAGAGAAATAAGATCTCAGCAGCGAAGTAAATGAACATAATCTGCCACATAGGGCATCTTTAGATTCCGCATTAAATAAACAATTAAGCGAGTAGTCTCAGCTCATCTTTCTCTAAGAAGAGTTTCTGATAATCCACATTAGTTGACTGTGTCCAATGGGGATGGAGCAAAATTGAAGACAATGACTGTTAAAGGTTAACTAAATCGGTGTGATAGTCGTTTCGAAAAAACTTAGCATTACTAAAGGCGCATTTTAATGGGAAAAAAGGTGAAGCTCGCCCAAAGCGAACAATGTGGTTACCATATGGACATGACACGCAGTCGGTAGCTTTGGTCCCAGGACTTTTCTGTTCAGCAACAAATGTACCGATACTGCATCTTTTACAATCAACTTGTCCCATTTCATCCTGGTAGAAACCACCTATAAAGATGTCATAGAACAAGGAGACACGGGTGGATTAGGCAAGATTCAGTTGTTAAATCTAGTTTCAGATTAGAATCGTTTTTATAAATGTTATTTTTTGTCTTTCAAACATTTCTGATAAGAGTTGTGCACCCCTGAGAATAGCGTAACACAGTATGTCCAGCACTGTTTAATTACCTAAGCCTTTTCTAAAAACTAACCAAATACATAATAGGAAACGAATGATGATGACTTTATCTGATCTCAATCGTTTAATGCATTGCCTAAGCGCAAAGGAAACCAGAATAATAAAAAATTTAGATGGCAAGTCATGGTCGATCTCGTGCTTCCATTGCTCAGTTTTATCTCAGTGAACTAGTGACAATAGTTGCATTGCAATTCGTCGTATCAGTTTTTCTTGTACTTGCTTAATAGGACACTGCAGATGTAGAAGCCTACTTTCACTCCATCCAACGCATGTCTTAAACAATTGGAGACACCATCGGTGACCGTCTAGCCAGACAAATGAAGAATTAAAATATCTCAACAGATCATGAAAAAAATTAGGAATTGAAAGGAATCATCTGAAATGGATTCATTTTAAAGAAATCAGTGTCGCTCTCTCACTTAATTAATTCAATTAGGGTTTTTATGACTTTGAAAAAAGGGTCTGACTGAACTGCATTTGGGTTAAACCAGTTTTGAAAATGTCGCATTGGCAAAGCGTCTTCCTCTTCAGATCTTAAAAAAAGTATGAAGTATACAATGCTTCAAGTTACTCTTTGTTTCTTGCTTTAACTCATAACGTTTGAAAAAGTTGCGAAAGTTACAACGGCTTCTAGTGGCCTGACGGATTGATTATTATAATCTACTTCTAACATTTAAATTGTTAAATGACATGACGCCTGTTCACTCACAAGAACGCTTATTCCTCTGGGACCCTTGCGATCCTCTGGTAAATCTTCATTTGTAACACCAAGAGATGATCTTACGATGTAAGGTGAAAGAGCTTTTTCATATAGTGTCCCAGTATTAAGGAATTCTCTTCAGGAAGATGTGAGGAGGTGCAACTCATTGACCCCTTTAGATCTAAGCTTAATACTTTTCTTTTCAAACGAACTTTTACTTGACATATTATAAGTTTTGAAGAGCGTGGCGTAGACCTTTCTTTTAAAAGTATTCTTAATTGATATTCTATAGAAAAATTCACTAACTGACGAGTGAATTCCACGTTAAATTTCACACGAAAAACCGATATCGCACGAATCGCGAAGCGATGAGTGCGATATCGGTTTTTCAAGTAAAATTTAACGTGGAATTCACTCGTGAGGCAGTGAATTTTTCTTGAATCGCATAACTGAATAAAAATAAGAAAACAATAAATTAAAACAGCAATATTATTGCTTGTTTTTATGCCGTACGCGCGCTCTTAGGAAAGCCATTTTAAAGTCAACAGTCAGAACTGTCATTGTTAAGGGAATGGAAAGCAATGTAAGTCGCTCACGTTTGAACCGTCGGCAATTTTATTTGTACCTCGTGAAATTTTCTTGAATCGCATAGCTAAAGCCACCAAATCACGATAGGGTCTAAAAGTACTTACGAGTGACCACGAGTGACCACGAGTGACCACGAGTGAGATTAAATCAAAATATCTCAGTTTTGTTACTATGACTTCATTACGGAATCATTTTCGTATAATTTCGTGAAATAATGACTTACTCACGAAAACTGAAGTTATTCACTGTATAAATGCATAGCGGACGATTTGAAAAACATGAAAAACAGATGCGATAAAAAAACTTGCAGTGTGGACTATACATTACAGATTGCACAGTTACGATAGGTTGAAAANGCCTGATTTTTTTCAGGTCTGATTTTCGCTATTGCTTAAATAGCGCTATCTACTGCGAGGATCGTGCATCATACGTATCTAATACCGCAGTTCAAAATATATGAACTTCATATATTTCATTGTATCTGATTTATCACTTTCACGGGTTTATTACGAATCAACTTAACGGCCTGCTCCCAGTTGGCTTGTTAGCTCAATTGGTAGAGCGCTGCACTAGTATCGCAGAGGTCAGTGGTTCGAGTCCCGTACAGGCCTGATTTTTTTCAGGTCTGATTTTCGCTATTGCTTAAATAGCGCTATCTACTGCGAGGATCGTGCATCATACGTATCTAATACCGCAGTTCAAAATATATGAACTTCATATATTTCATTGTATCTGATTTATCACTTTCACGGGTTTATTACGAATCAACTTAACGGCCTGCTCCCAGTTGGCTTGTTAGCTCAATTGGTAGAGCGCTGCACTAGTATAGCAGAGGTCAGTGGTTCGAGTCCCGTACAGGCCTGATTTTTTTCAGGTCTGATTTTCGCTATTGCTTAAATAGCGCTATCTACTGCGAGGATCATGCATCCTATGTATCTAATACCGCAGTTCAAAAATGTATGCACTTCATATATTTCATTTTATCAGATGCGATAATATTTAAAAACTTGCAGTGTGGACTATACATTACAGATTGCACAGTTACGATAGGTTGAAAACAAAAACGATTTTAAGAATAGTCATAAATATCACATGACCATGTTATTTTGCTCTGTTTTAACAACCCAATGATGTCAATGATCAAAACTTACTTTGGAAAATTCCATTCAACTTTCAAATATACTGCCGACGAGAGGTCTGGACAAGTACTTCATTGGGTTTTGCGTCGTAAACTCACTACTCCTAGCGTCAAAATAATAGTCCGGCTATTTTCTTAGCTGATATATCGCTTGGGTCGTGAACGATAGAACCATAAAGAAGGTGTCTGGTAAGATTTGTGGGTGATTTTGATGCGTCCATGCTATTTTACGAGACGAAAAAAGTCCGAAATTGTCAGGAATTTGGGCTTCCAATATCTCTTTGGCCGTGTGGAAGCGTACTGTTACCTAAATGTTGTTGACGTCACGGAAGTAAGTCCAAAAAAGCGAGGTGGGCGCGGAGTCCTGCCTACAATCTTTTAAGAAAAAAATAAATTGAAATGCCATTTCAAAGTGTAGTTTGAGGCTGTTGCAATACCCCTGACTCGAAGAAGAATATTTCACTTCACAATATTCCTTTGGAGGGCGATCGAAGGTCAGAGGCTATAAAAAGGTGAAAGAGGTGGATTCAGCCTGCCTGTGAGCGCAAATTAAAGCCTGCTTAGTAGACACCGACTTCGGTTTCACGCATGCGTTCAATATCGTAGTTATTTGCCCATAAGCTGAGACCCTAAACTTTTAGCCTTCAGAAAGTGTTGGATTGTTACGAAAAATAAGCCATAAGTGGACACCGACTTCGAATTCACGTTTATGTTCAATACCGTAACTATTTGCCTGTAGGCCGATCCCGTCTTAAAGCCTAGTCCAAACCTTTTGTTAAAAATTGTAAAAAGGTACACGCGAAGTGTCAACTGAGACGAATGGTGAGCTTAAAATATCTGTAAAACGAAAGACAATGAGCTGTTATTCGCCGTATTTGAAGTATCCTGTATCAGATCAAACACTTCTTGAGTGGTTTTCGCCTTTTTGGAGTAGATCAGTGAGGATGAAATGCAATGTTGGGAAGCGAAGCCTCGGCTGATTTTTGTCAGATCGTGTAACTTAGGGGCCGACTCTTTAACTTTGAAGGGGGGAAGTGGTGGGTGATTTTGAAAAAAAATTTCCTGCAAGCGCTTGTTGGAGGAAAAAAAAATTGCATGCAGCCCAAATGTAACAGAAAAAAAGTACCAAAACATCGGAAAAAATATCCTGCACAGCAGATTGCTAAAAAAAAAATTTCTTGATGACCAGAAATCACCCACCTCTTCCCCCTCAAAAGTTAAATGGTCGGCCCCTTAGCCGTGGGAACGACCGTTTGTAATTGGTGATTGGCAGATGTTTTCAAAACAAGTCGAAGCAGTTACTCTAAATTTCGCTTCTCTTCATTCTTTATGAGAATGTCATTAGCAGATAAACTCTTCGGCTAAAGGCGAAAGAATTGTGCAGCAATCCAAAGTGAAACGGGCGAGAATCCGTGCATTTTTCGCTTTTTTGACAATAATGGCATTCTTTAAAATTTAAGAAGGACTCTGTGCAGCAGTTGTCACAGCAACACGTCCCAACATTCTCAACTTAAATTAGAAGACTGATTACAGTTTGTAAATTCCCGCTCGAAAGATCTAAGATGATACACTGATTACAAAATTAATGTTTTTGGTTATGTCTAGCCATATTAAAAAAAAATTGCAAATTGTTTGCTTGAAAAATTTGTAAGTCTTACACTGGAGAAAAAAGAACGATATTGATGTGAGATTCGAGAACCAGACTTGAGAGGACGACGGTGTCCAGCTGGAACTTGTGATCCCTAAAGTCGGCAAAAATTTATATACCATAACACTTTTCCGCAGATTCGAGACCTTTCAAGCGACTAGTTAACATTCTGTCCCTTTTCTTGTTTTGTCTCATACATCTTCAATGCTCTCTTGTGCACTACTCGTCCGCTAATGGCGCATTTGAATATGACCCTTCCATAGTGTCCTCCCTGTCCTCCATCTCACCGCTTTGAGTTACAATTTGGGCTTCAATCGTCGCGTATCCCAGAATATAATTAAAGTCCGCGTCATCAGAGGAGAAACGTTGGTCAGAACAACACGAAATATCGGAAATTATTACACGAAAATATCACCGACACAGCCAGATAAATTATTACTAATTACAAAGCCTTCGTTTGCATGATAAGGACACATCCTTACTACCGTGACGTAACATTTTCTAAGCGGATTATAGAGCTTCATACAAAATTAGAGAAAGGGAAAAATACCGCAATTGTTCCAAAAACGTGTTTTAGAGTCATTATATTTTTTATGTAAAATAGAAATAAAGTAGGCGTTACCGGGACTTTAACAAAGATAAGAGTGTTTATTCTCATCACCTGCAGGACACTGTAGGCAGCAGTTTTCATCAGGATACGTGTAGGTACCAATTGGACAGAGGCTGCAGTCTCTACATCTAATTTCCATATGGTGTTGTTCTGGAGACGCACAGTCATGGCACACAAAACCTGAGCGCATAAAGTCAAATTCGTACCTACTTTGGAAGTTGTCCAAAATGACGTGCAGAGATGTCGAAGGAGCACACTCTCTGAGGATTAGACAAGGACAATAAATGAAAAACTGGGTTGGAAACAACATTGTAATTCTCCTGTGGAGAGATTATTATAACGAGAGATTTGTGGAAAACATTTCATGATAAAAAGAAGCGCGATTAAATCATGCATAACACTTTGGCGTCCACATGTCGCCATTATCAAATGTAAATTGTGATAGGCCCAACGACGTTATATATAGTGGATGGAGAAGTCCAGTTCGGTTCGTTTGCTTTGTGAAGCAACTTCAAGTCAGTCGGACTAGAGAGATCCACGACGAGAGGAAGACCGCCTCAATTCTACCATAGTTAGTAGACTAACTATGATTCTACCACCCTTTATTTGAGAAAGGGAAGCTCGTGGAATCGTTCGCCAGTAAAATTCTTCCCAAAGAAATTGCAGATTCCGCCTGCAAGAAATGTTCCAGACTAGCCCATCTATATGGCCTCCCCAAGACCCATAAACAACGTCTTGCCATGCGACCCATCTTCTCTGTACCAGATCTGTAGAACTACGCTCTGGCAATTGCAAAGCGGCTAGACGAGAAGTTAAAATCAATATCTAGCAATGAGTACACGATATCCGACATTTTTCAATTCTCCGAGAAAATCCAACATCTACAAATCGGCAAGAATGTTTTAATGGCGTCGTATGGCGCCACAGCAATTTTTTTCATAATTTACTTCTAAATGAAAATATTCAGATTTTGGTGAAGAAAGCATTCAATGAGAACTGGTTCAACAACACACACAACATTAACATATGTCAGATACAATGAAATATATGAAGTTCATATATTTTGAACTGCGGTATTAGATACATATGATGCACGATCCTCACAGTAGATAGCGCAATTTAAGCAATA